GATAAAGTGTTTGAGTACAATCCTTTGTCAAATGAGATAAATAAAATGTAAATAAAAGATGAAAAACATTCAACAAGAATTGGTTGACTCTGCAAATCAAATACGAGAGAAATATAGAGCTTTAAAACGTGGCAAGTTTCTAGAGGCTGAAGAGAGGTTCCAAACATTCCAACCTTTACTAGAGCCATTACAAGAATTAAAAAAAATCACATCAGAGAGGCCTCGAATGGAGATACTCCCAATGACTCCATCTAGAATATCAATGATACCAAGATTACAACCATTACAACCATTACAACCATCCACCCCACAGAAATTAGATTTTGGTCTTTTAGCATCAGACTATTTAGGAAATTACCTCAGTAAAAGTAGTATGACAGACACTACATATGGTATTAGACGAGAAGCAAATAAATTTTTTATTGGAAATAAGGAAGTTGATATTGCCAATGATGATGTTACAGTTGCAAATAAAACCTACAAGGGGACAAAAGGTTTATGGGAATTGTTAACGTTAAAAGAACCTGAGAACTATACTCAGGCTGATTTGCAAAATTATAAAGAGATTTTGGAAGCTACAAATGGGCATTTAAAGAGTTACAAAGATGGTGCAACAATTTCAAGTAATAGACATACTAAATATCTTAATATAATTAAACCTCTATTTAAATCTGTTGGTGAAGGTTTGAGACAAGTGACTGGTAATAAAATAGACTATATTTATTGGGATGATCCTAATGAGCTTGTAGATAGGTTAAGACTTCTTTGGCTAAGTCGCCAAGCTGGTAACTCAGGAGTGGATAATGAAATAGATTCCATTATTGAGGAATTGAGAGAAAGTGGAATTATTTATTAAATAAAAATATGTTTATAGATAAATTTTATCGTTTATATAATCCATATAATAAGCCTGCAGAACCCAGGGCTAGTAGTGAACCTACTTTAAATTTACAAGATGATAGTTGGAATTGTTTAAACCGTAAAATTGGTAATGTTAAAGATGGAGAGTTTGTAGATGATGTATCAACTTTGGGACAGACATTAACTAGAAAAGGTGATGTCTTTTTACAAGGTAAAACTAAATATGAGTTTTTAGAATCTAAGAATAAAAATTGGAATGCTAAAAAACAGAAAATTACTAATGTGAAAAAGGGCGAAAGTTTAGATGATGTGCCCACTTTACAACAGACTTTAATACGAACAGATGGTGGTACATTTGTACAAGACAATAATAATTATGAATTTTTAGAATCAGAGAATGGTGTTTGGAATGCTAAGAAACGGAAAATTACTAATGTAGAAAAGGGTGAGAGTTTAGATGATGTGCCCACTTTACAACAGACTTTAATACGAAAAGAAGATGGTAAATTTATACAAGATGATAATAATTATGAATTTTTAGAATCAGAGAATGGTGTTTGGAATGCTAAGAAACAGAAACTTAGCAATTTGATGGAAGGTACAGATAGTAAAGATGCTGTGAATGTTTCACAAGTTCCAAAAATGGAAGCAGGCTATTGGAGTTTTTATAATAAAAGGTTAGTACGTGTTAAACCTGCCATTGATGAAACTGACTGTGTTATAAAAGAACAGACTATAACTTTTGATAAAAAAGAAAAATGTTGGGATGCCAAAAAACAATTTATAAGGAATCTACCAGAGGGAGAACATTCGGATGATATTTGTCTAATGTCACAAGCTATGCATTACGATGGATCAAAATTTGTATATGGAGAAAAAATTTTTAATTTGATGGAATATAATCCTGATTTATTAGTTGCTGACCCCACATCTTTGAGTGGATTTAAGTATATAGATAATAGACCATATATACCAGAAAACTATGTATTTAAAAGAATGGAAGATAATCTATTGATTGGGGCTAATGGTGATGTATTTAGAGTTACAGGAAAGGATGATGTTATAAAAAATGAATGAAATTGCATACGAACTTCATAAGCCTGCAAGAAAGAATTTCATTAGAAGGTCTTTTAAAGTATTGGGTATAAACGAAACCATACAAATAGATTTAATTGATATGCAAAACTATGCTAGAGAGAATTCTGGCAATAAATATATTTTAACTTTAATAGATACATTTTCTAAAAAAGCTTATGCTGCTCCACTAAAGAATAAGACAGGGTTAGTGGTTACAGAAGCCATTAAAACCATTCTACCAAAGGGGGTTAAAAACATTCAATCCGACAATGGAAAAGAATTTTTTAATCAATATTTTAGCAAACTAATGAAACAATTAAATATTAATCACTATCACACTTTTTCTACAACTAAGGCTGCAATTGTGGAGAGGTTTCAGAGAACTTTAAAGAATTGGTTGTATAGGGAATTTAGTGCTCAGGGAAGTTATAAATGGTTGGATTTACTTCCAAAGTTAATTCGAAAATATAATAATAAAGTGCATAGATCTATAGGAATGAAGCCTAACCAAGTAAATATTAAGAACAGTAAATATGTGCATGAGAGGTTGCATGAAAGGACTTCTAAAGTAGTGCAAGTTAAAAAACCAAGATATAAGGTAGGTGATAGTGTGAGGATTTCCAAGTATAAACATGTTTTTAGTAAAGGTTATACTCCAAATTGGACAGGGGAACTATTTACAATAGCAGAAGTTAAGAATACAAAGCCTGTGACTTATATCTTGAAAGATGAAAATGGTAATATAATCAGGGGAGGATTCTATACAGAGGAGTTGTTAAAGACCAAGTATAAAGACATGTATTTAGTAGAAAAGGTAATTAGGAGAAAGGGTGATTTATTGTATGTCAAATGGCTTGGGTTCCCAAGTAGCCAGAACTCATGGATTTCCACTAAGGATGTCCAAGGGAGCACACCCACGCCATGAGCCGAGTTCGCACATACATGATTTTGAAATAGAAATATAATATATCAACTGGAAAGGGGAATGGTAGATGTACTAGCAATTGTGCATTAAATCCAAAACAATCGAGTAAAATATTGTGTACACATGGTGGGGTGCTATGGTACAATTGGGGGTTGCTCCTCATCCTGCTGCAGTGAATAGCGTTTTTACACTACTATACTATGGGACAGTTGGAGGGGTGCACGTGCTCCTGGTTCATTGAATAGTGTGTATATATATATATTTAAACCAAAACAGATACACAATAAACTGTACACATGATAGGGTGCTATGGTACAATTGGGGGTTGCTCCTCATGCACCTCCAGTGAATAGCGTTTTTACACTACTATACATATACACATGTATGAGTCAATAAATGAAATAATTAGCTTTTTTTTAGCTTAATACCGAATATATATATAGAGAATAAGTAAAAATAAGGTTTGACAATTATATAAGGATTTGCAGGCAAAGATCAGGATATTAGATTTGGTGGCCAAAAATAATCCCCATAAGAATAACATGGGAAAAACATGTCTAAAGTGGGGTAAAACCGGCAGTTCTCCACTACTGGCATCAATATAATAAAGTAAAAACCCCCGCCGCAGCAAACCTGCAGACTAAGCAAAATTCCATTTTGCCTGATTGGATTTACACTAAAATGCGTCCTTAAAAATGTCACGTTTATCCCCTATTTAAATAGAATTAGTTTAACGAGTACTTAGGTTTGCTGCAACAGGGAGGGTAAAAAAGTGTGTTTTTTTGTTAATAGTGTGGTATGGAATAAATGCATTTTTCAAATTTGTTCGAAATATGTTTATTAACAAGCGAACTACAACAGTTTACTTATTCTCCATAAGAATAACAGGGGAATTTTCTCCGTAGCCATTAGGTGCATAAAACGCTTCAATATACAAAATTGTTTGTTTTTTTTTAACTCTACAAAATGGTTTGGAAAGAAGTTGCTAAATTTTATGTTTTAGGGTCAAAAATGGGAAAACCCTATTTTTACCCCATAAACCCCCGTTCCCATAGTCCGATCATGCTGGTTCGCGAACTCGTTAGAATAAATGTAGGTTTACACGTTTATATCAAATTTCATCTAAATCGGATCATTTTTGCTTGAGTATTGTATGAATTTGAACGGAAGGTGTTTTTGGCCTCTGGGGACCTCAAAACGAAAAAGTAAATCGGTCCCGGGTCCAGGTCTTACCATGAGTACTACGGTAATAGATTATTCCCTTTATGGGAAATTCGCTTAAACGGCTTTACTGCATGTCTCGTTTGATCTTAAATTTACTGTAGTTTTTTTATGTTCAATAGTATGCATTCGTTATTCCAACTTGGATTACTTGAAATATTAAAAACAAATTAAGGTTGCTGAGAACAACTCGTGTCCTGCGTCTGTATGATAATCGACAATTCTTAATAATTATGAAAAAGTGTATGGTATAGTATTAAAAATAAATGAAACGGAAAGTATAATCAATTTTGAATACCTATTCGAATACCGACTTCTTATGAAAGTCATAATACAGTTTTTGTTAAGAGCAATTATTCCAAAAGAACCGAAATACTTTTGTTAGTAAACATGCATTGCATTACCTGTTTTTAATTTCGTTATGTTTTATTCAAACTGTTGTTAATCTATTATAATGTGTGTTGTTGCAGTTTTTTGTATTGGGTGATTTCCTTTCCAAAAAATGCCTATCATTAACCTAAAATAAAACTAACATTAATACAACTAATTTAAATTTTAAAGTCAGATGTATGAAAACTATTATAAAGACTAGAACAAGACATGTACAGTACCATTTTAGTACCATTTTATTAAATTAATAGAGACTATAAAGAAGTCAATTAAAAAAATATTCGTAAACATCCAAACGGGAGAAACGAAAACGTTGTACAATCATTGACTATATATGTATGTATTTGATTTAGTTTCTATAGTCAATATTTAAATGTTTACTTGCAGGACAGAATAAACCCGAAGTTGAATTTAGAGATTGTATGTTTGATTACATATTTAATATGATTTATGATGCCTTAGAGATACAAAAGAAGAGATCATATCAAAATATTTTAATTTTTATTACTGAGAGCTAGGTACGAACCCGAGACCGTTGACAAAGTCTCTGTGTTGGAAAGGTTCGTAGTCGTGAGGTCCAATTTCCACACATCCTGCCAACTTTGCTCTGCAAAAGAAAATAATCAGTTTAAATGTTCCAGGAACCCTGTAAATTCAAGGGTATAAACGCTGTAAAAAGTGTTTTAATATGTATCCGCCCAGTGGCAACAAGTAGTTCATGGTAAAATGAAAATTACAGGGTATCAACCTAATCTGTTCCAATAGCTAACGTTTTTATTTTATGTCTCTAACCAAAGTTGGCGGCCATATTTGAAAAATGGCGGGAAATTTAGAAAACTTTACATACCTTTACATACATACCTAAAAGCAACATAAAACAATAAATGGGGCCCCCTTAAGAAGTTTACTGTCAGACATAAAAAAAGTCTTTAGGCTGGACACCCTGTAATTAAAATATACTATTTAAGATTCGTAAGTTAGTAGGTTACCTGTTGGTAATTTCCTAAATTCAAAATTTTTACAAATGATATTGAAACAAAGCAAAGCAAAGTATGATGTAATTTGTACAGTAACAGTTTTCTTTTTAAAACATAATTTTGTTTTCGCCACGCTCAAGGCGAAAAGAAGAGGAAGTAACAGAGTATGCAGAGGTAAGTAGCTTCTGTATTCTTTTAACACCAGAAAGTCGTTTACAGAAAAAGACCGGTAAATATAGGCTCTCTGTACTTGAAATTTTAATTTTGAAAGTTGCGTTTAAAAAACACCCAGAATAAAGTAATTTAAATCCAAATCCGTTGACTTTTTAAAATAAACATTAGTTCATTAGAAAAACTAGTTTTGGTACAATTTTGTCATTTTCCTTAGTCATCCGTAAACAAAAATAAAAAACATAATGTAAACAAATTATCACAAATACAGGAATAAATAAATAAATAAAAATACCTGTATTTATTGGAAATGGTTAATGAATAGATGGACACTTACTTGGACGAAGTGGTGAATAAATTTAGGCCGTTGTTCACAGAATTCTTGGAATCATTTGGAGTCTTACTCATATTTCGAACTTATGCTCTGAAACAAGTTTAGAAAACTGTTTAAATGCTTTAAAAAACAGAAAAGCTACATTTCAAGAAAAGTTGCAGTTTAAATTTGCAGTTGGTTCCGAAATCATTACTCGACCTTCACCTTTATAGTTAGAAAAGGTACTTACTTCTCTTTGAAAATACATGTGCTAACTGATACAAACTATTGACTGGGTTTCAGCCTATTGTCACTACAATGAATGGCTTCAATAACTTTTAAAGAATGATTGACATTTGGTGTTTTGAAGATTACCTTCGTGGAATATTCCCAAAGAGGCACGTGTTCAGTACTTGAAACTATGACCTGTACAATTAACTAAGATGGATAAGTTCAGGAATATTTTAACAATGATTCAGTACAGAAGTACTGTAGTTTATAATAATTGGTCATATTTGGATGAATACTGTATAGTGTAAAACCAGCATAAAACGACGGGTTCAATTGTTATATGAAACACTGTGGTCTTGATCTAATAAGTAATCCATAACTGTTGCCACGTTGGTCTCACCGCGGCCTTGTGTTAAATGCTACGGACACACAGGCGTTTTTCACACTGTAAAATAGGCCTTGGTATGTCCTTTTACAAATTATATTTTACGTATGCTGTTACACCTGTTTAATCTAAGTAAAACAGGGGTTCAAGTGATTTAAATTAAAACTGTGCATTCATACTATTAGAATGACAATTTTGAAAGCCCGTGGGTATAATGACTACGGCAAAAAAACGTATTTTCCTTTTATATGAAAAAGCTGTCAACTTCAGTGCTGATACAAAAACCCAATGGAGTAGTGGCACTGAGAAGGTAATTAAAAGATTATCCAGGGTCTGTAACCTGAATACTAAATACTCTCTACTTACTCAACGATGTGGTGGTAAAATATTTAGCTTCTCATTTCGGCACTTAAATAATTAATACAATAATACTACGTATTATCAAATACAAATAATAATAGGCCTACGTTACTTATTTGTAAAAATTTCAAAATCGTTAAACACTGTTTATTGAAGAATTCCAATGGCAAATTCCGTATATTGAATAAATTATTAGTCTGCTTAAACAATGGAGTGAAAATAATTTATATTCCTCAAATTGTCTAGAGGATCGTGAATATTGTGTAGCTAAAAAACACAACATTGAACAAATAGAGTAAAAATATTCATATTATTTTTAATTAATATATGTGTCGACTAGACGTTCACGTTAGTATTCTCAATATAAAAAAAAACAGGTCTGCACAGTACTTTTCGTCATTTGGAGAATGTAGTTATTAGATACTTACCAGACTTTTAAAATTTGTTAAGTTTAAATTTTTATTCTGTCTACATCTATAACAACTTTTGTCGGTGACACAAAACAAAGACACCCAACACTGAACTGCCTTTACAGGTAAAGTTAATCACCACTTGGGTAGGCATGGGGATTATGAGATTGCCTTATCTCTAGATTTATCGAATGAATTGCTCTTAAACTTGTTTATGGTTTGTGGCAAATCTATGACGTTGTGATACTTGACTTTGTCTGGGGACGTCAAAAGTGGCTGCTGGGGCGCAAACACGTGCGACCCTCGACGCAGCAAACCTGCATGGTCAACATTTCAAATTCTATGAATCATTGAGTCGTTGGACTCATCGGCGTTGTGAGTTAGAGTATTTTGGGCAACACATTACCCGTGGGCCAAGAAATATTGAGTAAAATATGACGAGAAGGAAGTATTTCTAGCCATTATTTGTCATAAAACGCAATCCTGCGGTTGCGGTTATCAAAATGAATTAGAATATAATCAGTTTAAACTGTTTTTAACCTTCGTAAAATGTGTTTACCTTCTCCCCCTATACAACCTAAAAGAGTGGTGTTTGAAAGTGATGTTTTTGTGTGTGTGGATCTGTACAGAGCTACAGGCTACATCACTGTGGTTCGATTTTGATGAAATTTGGTATGTGAAACGTGGCTGTTTTTGTGGTTTTCAAACTTGGAATTTTAATGACGATTTTCCCTTAAAGCCCACAAAAACACGGAAAATAGAATTTTCTCAAAAACTGCTCGAACCATTTTAATTATAATTTAGTTTGCTTGGTCCTTTTGTCTCAAATCAAAATGGTACAGTGCTGTAATGTCTCAATTTGGTGAGAGAGTTTTTTTTTGTTTTCTGGTGATCTATAGAATAACTGATTTTACCAAATTTCTCATATAGGGAATAAGCTATTACCGTAGTACTCGTGGTAAGACCTGGACCTGGGACCGATTTACTTTTTCGTTTTGAGGTCCCTGGAAGCCAAAAACACCATCCGCTCAAACTCATATATATATGTATTTATATCGTATCTCGTTTTTGTATTTATATATATGAAATAATGAAATGAAATAATGAGTTTATTCCTACAAAACAAATAAATACAAAATAATACATTCACTTGGAACTACGTTGCCACATTATCCAGTAATCGTGGCAAACGTAAAACAAAAAATTAAACAATTATATTTACAATTTAGTGAGTCCAGTCTCTTCACTTAAAAAATACAATTTGCCGCTCTCTGTGGCGTCTTAAGTATAGCAATATATGTGTCCGTTAGCACGATAACTCAAGCAAAATCATCAGATTTTGATGAAATTTTGTACAAACGTGTAAACCTACGTTTATTCGAACGAGTTCACGAACCGGCATGATTGGACTATAGGAACAGGGGCTTATGGGGTAAAAATTGGGTTTTCCCATTTTTTACCCAAAAACATAATATTTTGGAATTTCTTTCACAACCATTTTGCAGAGCTTAAAAAAAGAAATAATTTAGTATATTGAAGCATTGCTGTATGCCTAATGATTAGGGAGAAAATTCAAAAAAATATAAATTTAAAATTCCCATGCTATTCTTATGGAGAAAATTGTAAACTGTTGTCTAGTTTGCTTGTTTATGAGCATATTTTGATCGAATTTGGAAAATACATTAATTTCATACTAAACTATTAACATTTTACAAAAAACCGTCTTACCCTCCCTGTTGCAGCAAAACTAGGTACTCGACAGATGCTAAATAGGAAATAAATGTGATATTTTTAAGGAGACATTTTAGTGTTAATCCAATCAAGCGAATGGGAATTCGCTTAGTCTGCAGGTTTGCTGCAGCGGGGGTATTTATCATAACCATTTTTGAACAATTATATATTACCTTGGAAGTACAAGTTTGTATTTTCTTGTCAAATCAAATCAAATGTTTACGGAGATAAGACATCATCAGTGAAGATGATTCATTTTTGTAAACACAATTATAGTTCAACAATGACTGTGAGTTATCACCACATTTATGAAATACTAGCTGTACCCGCGGGCTTTGCCCCGTTTAACTTCATAAGTATTCGCATGGCTCATTCAAGTCCTGGTTGAAGTTCGTTCGCTACGCTCACTCACCTTTAGGTTGGAACTCGTTCGCTGCGCTCACTTGCCTTCAGGTTAGCTCGTTCGCTACGCTAACTCGCCTCCAGGTTGAAGTTCGTTCGCTACGCTCACTCACCTTTTGGTTGGAAATTAGCTGTTGTCATAAATTAAAAAAAATATAATAGTGCTGCACCCTGTTATTAATCCTTGTAACTTTTATGCTATTGAACATCATAGAACAGAACCAACTTGTTTAATTGAAACAGCTGTTAAGATTCATTAATTCCTTTTAAATATGAAAAACCATAAGGTTAACATGGGGAACTACAGAGCCACTGGGGCGGAGCCCGAAAGGATTTTTGGGATAATAATATGCTTTAATGTTAATCGGGAATGTAAGCTATCATCATGCCAAATTTCAGCCCAATCCGTCCAGTAGTTTATGCGTGATTGAGCAACAAACACTCACACAAACTCACAAACTTTCAGATTTATAATATTAGTATTGAACATCATAGAACAGAACCAACTTGTTTAATTGAAACACCTGTTAAGATTCATTAATTCCTTTTAAATATGAAAAACCATAAGGTTAACATGGGGAACTACAGAGCCACTGGGGCGGAGCCCGAAAGGGTTTTTGGGATAATAATATGCTTTAATGTTAATCGGGAATGTGAGCTATCATCATGCCAAATTTCAGCCCAATCCGTCCAGTAGTTTATGCGTGATTGAGCAACAAACACTCACACAAACTCACAAACTTTCAGATTTATAATATTAGTAAGATAAGATTAATCGCCTTTGGATAAAACTGGGAAATGTAGCCACCCTTTGAGTTCTTTCGTTTGGTATTAGGTTGTGAATAAAATAAATCGTCTCTGCATGACAACTTACCTTTGCTTAATGGTGAAACTGTACACATTATTGGAAACATGGTTGTTATTTGAGAAAAAGTTGTTACCTTAGTGTTATTTAAATGGCAATCAATGTTTTTAATTTGGTCATTGATAAGCAAATGGACGGAACTATTTTATTTTTCATTCTCATCGTCCAAAAAACAATTTTCTTGAATATATTCGTACCTTTTCTATTTAGTTAAAAGCGGTAAATGGTACAGGATCTGATATGATATGGTTTAATTCAAAGGACACGCGTTATAAAAATTTACTCTTCGTATGGTTCTGTTTCACAACTATACAAAATTCAAATATGCCGCAGCGCATGAGTGAAATGAAGTAAATAAAATACTACGTAAGGACACATAACAATATCGGCGAAAAAGTGAATTATTTGTTTTCTAAACTAAATATGGACAAACTAACTAGCTCTCAAGCCCCTCATTTAAAATGGCGGAGTAAACCAATATATACATAAAATCCACATTTGAAATATACTGTATTTGTATAAAACACTCTTTCGTTTGATTCCATCATAAATGTCAACAATCGATCCAAATCCCTTCCCTTAGTAAAACGAAGCCAAAGAAAAATAATTACATTCAAAACGTAGCGTTCGTAGGCAGTTTTATGAAATGGCCTAGGTGAAAACAATTTCTACAGTAGCGTAATTTATGAGTGGCTTACTAAACTTTATTCTTTTTTAATCATTTGCTACAGATAGTCCACATAGACGTAATGTCTATTTTACTGTACATAAGTCAATGGGTTGTCAACGAATGAGGATGTGACCAAAGCGACTCTGCATTGCCACTGTTGCATTCCATGAAACTGTTATCAACAAACAGCTGTTTATTTGGCACCCCACTGCGCACTATCATAACTAGCGCAGACGCAACACATTTTCACTCCCCCCGCCCCTCCCAACAAGGGCACGAACACAGTATCACAATATTCACAATCAGTGTCACTCAGTGTCAGTCATCACCATTCTTTTGGGCAAGTTCCTTCTACGTAATCTTCAACGTTTGTCATAAATCAGCTGTTGTTGCAGAACCATATTGTTGTGGAAGCCAGTTACGTTGTCAGCTATCTGTTTGATCATGGTTCGCACCAAAGCCAAATTGAAAGCAGGTAAATTTCGTAACCTTAATAAATGTAGCCTACTAATTGTTATAGTTTAGTTTTGTAGTGTATGCTATGCACAGTTGTTATACAGTATACTATACATTCAAATCAAAATCATATAACTGAACTCATTTGTAAGGTGATAAAACAATTACTTGAGACTTTCACAACCAGCATAGGTACAGATTTGATCAAAGAATAAATTACCACTTCTCTAATCTGTGATTTCACAATAACAAAGCTGAACAAAACTTGGCCATGCTTTACTTAACGTTAGCATTTCTGTATTATTTAAATCTGTAAAAAATTCCTGATATAAAATCATTTGGGATTGGTTTTTGTTAAATGCAGGCAAAATGTAATTTGTTAGTTCCGACAAAAATTTCAGTTGTGCAATTATTGAGAGTAATCAATAATGAATAGGTACTTTAACTCACCTAAATCGTCCTATAAGACGTTTTTAAACTGTTCCTACACACAAACACTACAACTTTCTCAAATAAATGTTTGTTCGCTTTCCTGTAGACACCACGCCTAGATTACTAGACTCAACCCCTCAAAAAATCGCTTAAACATCGTGACAGGTCAGTTTACTTTACTGGACACCTCACCAAGATTACTAGACACCTTGCCCAGATTAATAGACCCCAATACCAAGATTACTTGACACCACCTAGATTACTAGACACCAAGCCCAATTTACTGTACTAGACACCATACCTAGAATACTAGACACCACTACCTAGATTACTAGACACCATTACCTAGATTACTAGACACCACAACCACGCCCAGATTATAGTTTAGGTTGGGTTAATCCAGATAATGGTGTCTAGTAATCTTGGTGAGGTGTCTAGTATAGGAAACTACCCTGTCACAATGTTTAAGCGAGTTTTTCAGGTGTGGTGTCTAGTAATCTAGGAGGGGTGGTGTCAACAGAAAAATCCTTGGCAACAAAAAAACCATTTAAGAAA